AGAGAGAGTCTTTCTATCTCAGGTAGGTGGGGTGTCATTCCGTTCACTCCAGAGATGGCGTAGGTGCGGGAGCCACAGAATGCTTCTGGGTGACTCGGGCCACCTCGGCGGGGGTTGCTGCCCCTGGAAAGGAAAGGCGGCAGGGCAGAGGAGGGAGCTCTAGCTTCCATTCAGGTTTGCTTTTGCAGCCCTGGAGCATGGACTCCGGAAGCACTGAACAACTGTATGACTCCACCATCTCCCTTTTTAAAATTTTCCAGGCACGGTTTTGTATGTTAAGTTCCCCAGGCTGGGCTTGAACTTGCAATCTTCCTCAGTCAGCTCCCTGAGTAGTTGAGATTGCAGGCCTGAGCCACCAACCCCTGCTGCGGTGCACATTTAAAAAAACGAAGCAAGGATTTGTGATAAAGACGCAACTACAGGTGCACAGGGCCCCAGGGAACTTCCGTGGTCTTCTTTAATTTTTCTCTGCACCATCTTAAATAAGTAAATATTTACCCAGAGAGCAGAGAAGGTTGACACACTTAGCACTGATGTACCCATATGTTATTTTTCTCCCTCTAAGTGTGCACAACTTCAGTGTCTTAGCAGTTTAAAAATGAATCTTGCAAGGGTCTAGCAGTTTTTCATAAAGCTGAGTACATACTCAGAACGTGGACACTGCACTCATGGGTTATTTACACAAGAGAAATGAAAATCCATATCCCCAAAGAGACTTTGGAAAGCTATGATAGCTGTATTCATAAGAGCCCCAAACTGAGGACAACCAATCAGAGAACAGCTAAATCACCTGCGGTAACTTCGCACAATGAAAGCAAGAAAAAAGGAACAAACTATTGCTACGTCCAACCATACGATCAATTAAAACATATTATGCCAAATAAAAATAGCTTTACCCGAAAGAGCACTTGAAATAAACAAAGAAAAGCTACTAACATAAATGAAATGAGTAACTTCGGCCATTCTTTTAAGATCGCAATGCACAGTGTATTAACTATCATTATTCTCTAATTATTTTGTTAGGAAATTTTATTTTTTTACAGATGTAGGAAGAGTGCTTTTTATGTTTTCTTTATTAATATCCGCCTATATTACAGTAAAATAAAAACATTTAAAAGTACATGATAAACCATAGATCTAGTGTTCACCTAGCACATTTTCAACAAGTATTTATTCCTTCAAGAAACAAGAGCACTTTATGTCTGTTTTTGTATGGGTCCAACACCCACACGATAGAAGATATATGGGGAAAATGTGTCTGTCCTGAACACAAACAGACATTGCTTTCTTGTCCTTATCCCTTAAACAATACAGCTATCTACATAGCACTGACATTGAATTATAGGTAGTCTAGAGAAAACTCACGTAGCTGGGAGGAAGTGCGTAGATTACAGGCGAATGCTATGCATTTTACAGAAGGGATCTGAGCATCCAAAGACTGCTACAGGAGCAAGTCTGGGAACCAACTGTCCTGAAAGTATGGAGAGAACAAGGTATAGATCCATGCACCGTGTCCATAGTTGTCACACTATACTGTTTAGGAGATGATGACCACAAACGTGTCTGTGCATGTTCCATGTGGGTGCATTATTTTCCCTGCATACTGTGTGGGTATGTGACAGAGAGAGACAGACAGACAGACAGACAGACAGATAGACAGAGAGAGAGAGAGAGAGAGATTGATTCTAGATCAACCAAAACCAACGTATGGATGAATCCATGCTAGCAGCAGGGAGGATCCAGAGCAGTGGTTGCCTCTGGGAAGTATGGGGGATGCTGCCTGGAAAGAGAACCTTCTAGAACCTTCTGGGGTGATCTTAATTATAAAGAGCCCTTCCCAGTCCTCCTTGAGGTCCAGGAAGCTTATATTTGTAATCCCATAGAAAAGTTATTGGCATTCCATGCAGTTAATTCCAATCTACCACTTTCGGTGCAACCCACAGCATACATAAAAGCATGATAATATATCCAAAATAACGTAGAGCCAAGGGGCCCCTGAGTCCTGCTGCGATGACAGCTCACTGGAACAAAGGCCTTGATTCAGGGCAGAACCCGGGTTTTACTAATTCGTGAAAAAGGGCGTGGCTTGAGGATGAGTGACTGTGAGAATGGCAGGAAGTACAGGAAGTCCTCGAGTGCCGTGATCTGGGCTGGGCAGGAGGCCTGAAATCACCTCTGTAATATGCAGACAGAGGATGTGCAGAGCGAGTAATCTGCATGACACAACTGAGGTATGTTTGGGGGTTGGGGCTTCAGCTTTGATGTATAAGCTTTTATAACCTGGGAAGTCATAGGCTCCTATCTCGGGGTCTCTTATCTCAAGGCTCTCCATCCCACCTCAGCTCATACACGTTTTGGGGGAGCTAAGTGGGGAGGGGAAGCACTGCCCTGTCTTCTTTGCTTCAAAGACTACACATCAGCACCTTGGCTGGGACGATTTGCACTGCTTCAAGCCAATTGAGGGGATAGGAGAAGTCCTAGCCAGCTCTGCACTCATCAGTACGTGGAAATAGGGTCAGGCTCAGCCAAAACGGAGAGAACTGCTCTTCTTTCAAGGAGAGTCATCCGGGTGGTCCTCCACCCTTCATGGACCGCATTTCCACAGAGGTTTGCTTAGCACAGCCATCTGGTGCTCCTCACGGCTCC